TCGTTCAATCGGGTTATTTTATTAATTTTCAACTGTGGGGAAAAGGAAAGGGATATTACATAAATGTATTTTCAAACGAAGCGAAATATTCTTTGCGAAAATATTTGGAACTAAGCATACATTTTTTCACAAGTATGAGTAAGTTTAAGCCCCCTCTTATTTTTCATCACTTTCATGTGATTATTTTATAGCGATCATTCCGCTTGTATTTACGTAATTGCAAAAGGTATTTTAGCCAATAGTAAGGTTAAATTTTGCAAACCAAATCCGTAATTAACCAATAGAAATAAAGTGTACTTATTCTTCACTGACATTCATATTGTAATTTACGTATTTATGTTCACCATTGCTGTCCTTCTACTAAGTAAATTACCTCCTTACTTTCTTATTCCAGATATATTATTACAAAAAAATGATAAATATGAATGCAATAATTGAAAGACTTAAAAATGTTTGGAAAGAAAAAAAGAAGTTCCCAGCTTCTGCTTCATTATTCATAAGCTTCATTATCATTTTCTACGTTACCTCATCTAAAATATCATTATATACATTTCTACTAATAGTAGCATACTTTATATTTTAAAACGTTATTTATTTCACGTATGGTGTTTATCGCTATGGTCTTTTTATCGACTTTTAAAAATTATTTTTTATATTTGTCAATTGTATGATGTTTATTTCATAATTTTATAATCATACAGATATATACTGAAGAGCCAAAACCTTATAACTACCTACTCAACAACACATTGCGAGAGATTTGTCCTAAACAGTTGCATGTCGCTTTTGCATGGATGCTGCAAGTTCTTGGTAGATGACTGGAGACTGGTTGTACCAAATGTCTAAGCAGCGATCACGCAAAGTCGAGATATTTCAACATGATGGTGTTAGAGCTCAGATCTGTCGCTCTATGACATCCCAAATGTGCTCTATGTGATCTAAGATCCCGCGAGTTAGGTCGCCAGGACGTTAATTGGACTTCATCCTGATGCTCTTCGAACCCCTCCAACCCAATATGTGACATGGGGCTTTGTCCTGCTAGGAACTTCCATTTTGCTGCGAGGGCAGGCGCAAAGTAAGGGGGCAAATGATCCGCAATTATGTTCATATAGTGTCCACAGCTTTCATGATTTGTTCTACCACAACAAGGGGTCAAGAATCGCCTACGAGAACGTTCCCCAAATCATAATACTGCCACCACCAGATTGTATATGACCTGCTGTAGAGAGGGCAGCAAGCGTTCGCCTTAAAGATGGCGTATCCTGACACGACCATCGACGTGATGAATGACAAATACTCCTCTGACGAGGCAACTGTCTTTCACTTATCCATGGTCCGGTCTTGATGTCCCTAGGCCACTGTAGATGTAGTTCACAATGACGCTTGGTCACCAGAGGCACACGCTTGGGACGTTTGCTTCGGAGTCCCATATACAAGAATGTCCCCTGAATTGTATGCTCTGAAACACTTGCATTTGGACTTGCATTGAATTCGGCTTATTAATTAGAAATTTAGAAATTAACATTATAAATTATTAAAGTCTCGGAGTATGCCTTCGAAATTAATTAAATAATCGAGATATAATAAATAATTAAATCATAATCTTGGGGGTTAACCGTCTGACAGGAAGAAAATATACAAGAATGGAACAAATGCAAAGCAGTTCAATAATATTACACAATAAAGCAAAATACTTGGAAATTTTTTTGGTTTTTTTCAAAGAGCAGCCTTTTAGGATTATCAAAACAATATCTTGCCCAAACACGGCTAATATTTACATAAAATATTTATTTAAATTAATTTAAATTGTATCTAAACAGGCGAAGAAGGAATTGAAAAGTTGAAATTTGATCAAACAGTTAAAAGAAGTAGGTAATGTTAGCGTATTATAAGAAATTAACCTTGATAAAGTAGAAAAATAATAAAGTAAGTATAATAAAATTTCACAGAATACGAATTAAAAATAAAAATTACAAGTACAATTTCGGAAAAGCTTTATTCTCAGATTCAAACACGTTCAAGAGAACGAATCTGTACACCGATAATACTGCATTTTCTGGTATTATCAGTCATGTTTTTTGTTCGCTTTCAATTACCTGAGTCATCGAAATGAAATATTTCAGATGCTTTGTAGATCTGAGAATTAAAAATGGCAACTCTACATAACCATTCTTCTAAAACAAAAGCAAAACTAGTTTAATTGTTCAAACAGAAACTCAATGAATCTAATTTTCTGTAAGTATGACGAAAAATAGCTAAACTGCAGAAAAGAAATTCTATACAGAAAAATCTACTAACAATTGCAAAAAGAAATGGTAATTTATCAAATGTGAAATAAATTAAATTAAACGTTCATCTAATTCAACCTACTTCGTGTCATTTCACAAAAAGATGTAATGAAATAAGCTAGGAAAATTAGTACGTTCTCCGAGTTAAATTCTCAAATGATACGAATTGTTGATTAAAAAACGAGATGGTAGAAATGTAAAGCCGGGTTACAATTGACGATATTTAATGTTGCCAACAAACATTGGTTAAAGAAGTTAAAAAAAACTTTAAAAAATACTGTAATTTTCAAATGGAATAAATAATTAATTTCTTCTTAAACCTAGGAAAATAAAGAAAGAAAAAAAAAAAAAAAAAAAGAAAAGGAAAAAAGAGAATTTAGAATATAAGAACAGTTCTTATGTCTTTTTCGGCTACAAAAGTAACTATTTAAAATGTAAAATTGCCCATTTTGTAGTCAAAGTAAGAGCCAGAATGTGAGAAAATTAATAACACAAACTGACAGAAAATTGCAAAATGCATAAATTGTACATACTATGAATTTTTCTCATTCTTCACTTCATTTGCTTCTGTGAGGTTTAAGAATGGGCTGCTTAATTAAAGGAAAGGTGAAATATTTTCTATTGAATTAATAAAACAAAAATTAAGTAACTTATTATTAGCACAAAATTAATAACACAAACTGACAGAAAATTGCAAACTGCATAAATTGTACATACTATGAATTTTTCTCATTCTTCACTCCATTTGCTTCTGTGAGGTTTAAGAATGGGCTGCTTAATTAAAGGAAAGGTGAAATATTTTCTATTGAATTAATAAAACAAAAATTAAGTAACTTATTATTAGCAAAATGGCAACAAACTGGATCACGAAAGTTAAAAATCTTTTATCAACTTTGGACTGGAACGGAGTGTGATGCTCGTAAATAATATCCCTGTCGAATAATTTATCTTTCAAGAATTACGTCAGTTAAAGGAATGTTCATCATTTTAAGGTCTACAAAAAGAAATTATGGGTTAAAAGTTTCACAGGGTTTATATGAGAGTACTTAGGCGTATGTAAATAAAGCATCTAATAATTGCTTCCCTTAGATCATTTTACATTAAGAATCGCCCTGGGAAGTTTTGGTACAGTTACAAATTTTGTATACATGTAAATAATTTTGGTGAATTTATGCGTAAATTGTAATATCTCCTGAATAATTTAACATGAAAGGCCTCAAAATCGAAGCATCGCAGAAAAAATACGGTTACAAGGATAAGTCCATTTAATACTGCGGTAAAAGAGCTATCTCGCCAGAAATCTGGCGAGATAACGCCAAGCTGGCGTTGATTTTGGCGACTAATATTTTTGCATTTAAAGAATCCAATTTATTCTAGAATGTCTTTCACGAAGGCACCCCTTCCTTCAGGAGGCAATAAGCCCTCCAATGCTTTATTATAATCAAATAAACTTAAACCAATCTAAGCTACACAAGATTTAATTCTTCACGTATTTTATTGTTACGAATAGGTTAAGATGTACTGGCTATTTGTAGACGAGCAATAATTTGAACAGTCTGTAATTGCTTTCTGTACGCGTTAAGGTACACCATAATCTAATAGGCGAATGGCGCTGCTCATCTAACCGAATTTTTACAATGAATTTAAGTACCACATTTAAATTTCTATATATCTTCTATATATTCTCAGAGGTATTTTTGTCTAGATCAACATTCAATATATTTTTAAAAGGAATTTATTACAATATCAAACAGATTAATATAATTTAGAATCTAATCTACATCTCATCAGCAGCATTTGAGCTGCATCAAAACAAATCGAAAGTCAAGTTCTGACTGTTGCCATTCTGAGGTAAAGAAAAGTTTCTATTCAAACCGGAACACTTTCGATAAGTGTAGTTTAAGTACTATCAGGCATAACTTAAATTGGGATGCAATTTCTTTCTTTGTAAATGAGCTGTTTATTATCTACAGAAAGAACGCTGTTTGAAGATATTTTATATCAGGTAGGTTTATAATTCTCGATAAAATGTATAAATGTTGCAATACATTTTCTTTTATATTCGATATATTATTTTTTTAAAAGTAATACATTTTGTAGAAACATTTTAATTGTGATACTGACAAAAAAAGTAAAACTTGATCTTACTACAATCCCTTGTGCTAAAAAAGGCTTTCTGTCATAATAACTTATGAAGTCAAAAAAATTAATGATTAGGTCAAACATTTGAAAAATAAGCATTTGTTAATATCCCATGTATATCGGTAGTCCTGAACTTGACGAACAATCTAGTTTCCCCAAAAACCATTTTGAACAGAAATCTGTTTCCAAAAATACAGAATTAGAAACTCCTCTTCCTATATAGTAAGGAACAAAGGAAAAAAAAGAACCTATTTCTTCGTATTGGTTACATTTCTTTCCATAAGAATCTGAAGCATTTTTGAAAGGAAAATTTGATCTCATTTCTTTCAAAAATAATAATAATAATGATAACTGACTGTCCACAGGTCTCTGGTAAGTTTTGGCTTTAATGGAACTAATTTTTGCCTATAATTTAGGGTGTGTCATTTTCAAAAACTCTCTTTTCTATCTTTGAGGGTAAAGGGGGAGGAGAAAGGGGAACGGAACAACACCTAATCCTCCCTTCAGATCGAGGTATTCCGGTCGCTTGGTCTTCTTATCCGTGCCATAAAGCGAGCTTCTGACTCGGTCCACGGATCATTCGCTCCCAGTAGGCACCCAGACTCAGTTACAGTTGCAGACATTCACGGTTCTTGGCGTTAACCGCATTTAGTTTTACTGTTAGTTCTTCTGCCATTCAAACATGGGATCTTACTGAAGTCGCAAATCTCGCTTTTAAGTTTCGGATTTACAACTTGACGTTGATCGATCTGCGGTGCTTGTTCTAAGGTAAGTTTATAAAAAGCATTTTCACAAAAGTTTCGAGCTGAAATTTATTTTTAGAAGGAATGAATTTTGAAATGGGGTTGAAGGGTAACTTAATTCTAAATAATTTTAGAATTTAATTATTACATATGGAATTATAGTATTACATTTTATTTTAGAGCATAAGTTTTAATTATTAAAGTAAACTAAAAATAAAAAATAGTTTAAAGAATTTTGATCGATGTGTGAAATTTGTTATTGAAACTGATTTTGAAAACTCACAGCGCCAACGACATCTTAGATAGAATTAGTATCATAAAACTGGTTCTTTCACTATTAGATATAAAGTTTTTCATTTTTTGCTGAAATATCATAAAAGACTTTTTTGAACTAAGCAACTTATACTAGCCAATATTAAACATTAAATTTGTAATTTAATTTTACTTATAATCTTTAATCGGGCTATAATTCTCACTGAATCGAATTTAGATATTATTTTTATTACTTTTATTACAATATCTTTTATAACAAAATTACTTTTATTATAATATTGAAGCTATGATATATAAAATAATAATCCTAATTTAAAATCTGTGCTTTCGTATTCCTAAGTTTTAATTATATAAACGTAGCTTAAATGTTAAATTAATCGTTTATTTATTAATAGACGCATGGCAACAGTAGAACAACTGACGAAAGAATTAATTACGAAAGACGAAAGAATGGTTTTTATCTTTTATGTTTAATAACGTTTAAAATGTTAAATATATTTTATATGGTATGCCAGTATCTGCCAGTATCTGGTATGCCAGTATTGAAAGAAACAATCAATCTGATAAGAAATGGTTGCGACTTGTTAATTGATGTAAGTAAATCTGCCTTATTGGCTCTCAAATATGATTTATTCTCTATTGAAAATAAGAGAGTATTAATATTTATTAGTTTCAAAAAAATTTTAAATGTATGGAAGAGTTTATTTTAAATTTGAACTTGAGAAATTCAACCTCAAACAGACGCTGATTTTATTTTCTTTGCTCTTTGAAGAATGTTCTAGAGGTAGGTTATTTCTCTCGAAATGTAAGAAGGTCTCTGCAAAATCAACATCAACCTAAAGTAGAATTTGTTATCTAATTTCAAACTACATTGTATCAATTCATTATAATTGAAATCTCAATTAGTTGTTTACTACTTATTGTCAGAGAAAGTATATCCATTTCTATGTGATTTAATAGCAGTATAATTTAATTTTTATTTAATTATTTTCATATGGTGAACAAATTAAGTGTTAAAGATTTAAAAATAAAAAAAATTAAAAGCAATTAACTTGGTACAGCTGTTTTCATGATGAAGAAAAAAGCTTTGGAAATAAGCTTACCTAAACACTAACAAGATATGACTATGTAAAGAACTTTCCTTAGTTTAAAGCTTGGCATGATATATTTGTCAGCATGTGTATAACTTTCAAAAATATAAGAAAATAAACATCAAACGTTTTTGTAACAAATACCTAATACATGATTTTAGAAACATTTTTTGAAAATTACGTACTAAAAGCAGCATATATTTAAGTTTATATCAATTATATATTAACTTCAAAAATAAAAAAGTGGTACAATTTACAAAGAAATGCGTGTATTGTTTTTAAATTGTTTAACTTGCTAAGCAGTTTCAGAATGTTTAAACACAAAAGCTCAATAAGTGCCAGGCTAGTTGAAAGAAAAAGAAAAGTTGAAAAGGCCTTATTTTTCCTGTCTGTATAATGCATTCCAAAGCAAGGAGGTAATATGGTTACAATATAGTCTCGTAATACAACAATGCTTCTAATGTCAATAAACTACACATAAAGCAGAATTAACGAATTTTATTATGAGTAAATTATTTGTTATGAATAAAATTTTATTATGAGTTAATTATTAATTATGAGTTATATTAAAATTTTATTATGATTTTGAAGACAAAATTTAAATTTTCATGAAAAATTCTTTATGAGAGTTCATACTCAGATTATCATAAATTTGATGTAATTGTAATTTTCCTTCTTGTTCGTTAAAACAGCAGAGCAATAGATATTTTGTGAAAAATGTGTTTTTCCCCTTTTAACATACACTAAAAATAAACTAACAAATAGAAAAATGACATATGATATTTTTATAGATTTTTTTGTGTTTTAAATATTGTTAACATGAATATTATTCAGCGTAAATTTCAAAAAAAGTATTTTTGGTACTTTTCCGTTTCGCCGGCTCAAGTCTCGCCAAGCAAACTTTATTGGCGACAACATACAGTATACACATAAAAAATGTTAACAAATGTTAGTTCTAAAAAATTTTTATTTTAAAGGCATAAACGTTTTAATATCGTTTAAACTTTTGTAAAAAGACAATAAATAAAAACCATAAATTTGTAAAAAGACATTAATTTAAGAATTACTATGCTTTCATGGTACAACATCCTTATTCGCCGCTTCATATCACGTGAACGTGACCCCCAAGTGATCTCATCTCACGTAAATTACGCAACAAAAATCTAGTTCTGTCAGTAATTATCTACATTAATTTCAAGTTAAATCTTGATTCGGAATACAAGTTTAAATGAAAAAATTATTTCAATTCGTACGAATAGCTTACTCAGAAATTATGTATGTAAAACCGCAGTGCTTTACTTCGATGGTGCATTCTCATTAGAATTCATGAATTTAACCCTTGACTTTGCCTTTTCTATATTTTCGCCTTCGGGTGAGCAGTGTGATTGCATCCTAATTAACTTAATTACCGCGAATGGTCTTAGAGCATAAAATCGAGCTATCTGGTAAAAATCTGGTATGCCAATATTGAAAGAAACAATCAATCTGATAAGAAATGGCTGCGACTTGTTTTGAAAATGAGGCGTAAAAGGTTGCCAGCGAGGATATGCCGTTTGGCATTAGTTGTACCATTTTTGGCGACTTTATCGCTTGCGCCGGCAAAATGGAAAAGTACCGTATTTTTTTAACCTTTAAGTCTATGCAGGTTAGATTTTTAATCGCTATATTAATAACTTTAGATTCTATTGATCGTTTGTCCGTGCTTTGGTTAACGATAAAGATAAAGCTGAAATTTTATAAAGTTCCACATTAGTAGTTGCGACTGTGAATTGATATTACTGTACGGTTAGAAATGAACTTGGATAATTCACAACAGAAAAGTAATGCTCATAAATAAAAAATAAAACAGCATTTTGTCTTGTTTGAAAATGTGCCGTAAGTTGATATCCTTGCGAACCAAAACTTGAGAAACCCATAAAAATGTTCTAATGGAATACGTTTTAAATGACGAGAATTATTTACTCGTTCTTACATGTGCTATGCAAACTCAACAGTATTTTTAAAGATTTTAAATTCTGCAAAATGAGCTTTGCTGAGATGGAAATCTAGCAGGAAATCGCGCGAATGTTTAATTAAATTATGAACCAGTTTTAGAAAACAAATTCACGCCATAAATGCATTTGTATTTATGAAATAGTAATAAAAAATCTAATCTGCTAAAATTTTATCATTCAGTAAAATGTAAATAAAGAAAGAAAGTGTCTGATGCTTAGAAGTTACGATTTGCTGCAAAATCTTCCTGTAATCCATACACTCTGTTCTTAATTGCAGAGAAAACTTCACTGGAAGAAGAGTTAAAAGAAAAAGAATTATTTTATTAAAAAAAAACTGATAGCTTTTTCACATTTTATATTACGATCAAAATGACATTTTATTAACGTTTTGTGTGTTACCTTTATTTATTAAATATATTCTTTGCACTTAAACCATAAAATTCAATTCAACAGCAATATCGCAAAATAATTTAAAAAGAGCAAATCTTTAGAATTTCGGATACACACTCTCGCGCGATGGAGATAAAAGTGTTTTTTTCGTACAGCGTTGCCATTGCTCGCTTTGAAATCGTTGAGTTTCTTAGTTAAAAACTCATAAATGCTTTACAAAATAAGAAGTAGATAATAAAACAAATTTCCGATTCCAAATTTGGGCTTCCAAACGCCCAATATTCAGATGGAGACATATGTTATTCAAAATTTAAGTGCCCTATGTAACTTTGTTTCATCACAATGCGAGAAACGTCCCTACATTTATACAGATTCTTCATTATTTCATTTCTTTAAATATAATACAGTGCTGGTGGCAACAGTTTGAAAAGTCATTCAGACTACGAAGCAAAATGTCAAAACGACTGGACAAGCGTCCTTTGGGTTAAAAATGTACACTTATAACGCAGAGGAATAGTGTTAAACTTTTTTTTACATGTTTTATTTAATTTTATTTTAACAAGTAATTCTTTTGCGAAAATGGATTGTTAGATTTCACACTGAAGGTTAAAATAGAAAAGATAATCTCTCGTTCCTTTTTTTTGTCAAGTATAATGGTTTATATTGATTCTACATTTGATTTAACAAAGCTTCATGTAGTTAGTATACGTATTTTCGAGAACTCAGATTGTCCTTCAAATCAAAGAGAATATCACGAAAATTCCTGCAGGACGATGAATAGAAAGCAAAAGAAGTACTGAATGCATTCTGAGTTCTTTTTAATTGTATCTATTCTTATATAAGGGTATAAGGTATTTTCTCCCTTCTTCTAGCATGCTACCGTCGTGCAACGGTAGCACACACGGCTCGTATTCGAAAGACCCCGGGGCTAATCTTTGGAATATGGTAACAGGTAGTTTGGCGATATTTTAGTAAGGCGATAAAGCTTACTAGGTAGGTATACAGTGAGAAGTATACAGCTCGAATCACAGATTATTTTGTCTGAGAGAAATGAGAGATCATGAGACATGTCATGTGACATTTTCCGGAAAATTCCGATCGTGATTTTAACTAATAAGCACTTAGAAACAATTTGGCTGCTAAAGTGCAGAATCGCCCACTTATTTGTTTGGCGCTTTTTACAAGAGTAAGAAGAATTGGATTTTTGTCGGTTTTGACTTTTTCAGTGAAAATAGGTCGATGTGTACATGGATAAAATCAAGAGTGTGCGCAATGCC